TGCATCTATTGACAGGATCTTATGGTTCTTGTCCTTTCTTTTATGTATGTGGTATATGACGTTGATTGATTTGTGGATGTTGTACCATCCTTGTAGCCCAGGAATAAATCCCACTTGGTTGTGGTGAATAATCCTTTTATTATACTGGTTGGTCCTATTGGCTAGTATCTTGGTGAGAATTTTGGCATCTATGTTCATCAGGGGTATTGGTCCGTAATTCTCCGTTTTGGTGGGGTCTTTGTCTGGTTTTGGGATCAAGGTAATGCTGGCTTTACAGAAGGAGTTTGGAAGTTTTCCTTACATTTTTATTTTTTGAAACAGTCTCAGAAGAATAGGTGTTAATTCTTTAAATGTTGGGTAGAATTCTGCTGGGAAGCCATCCAGCCCTGGTCTCTTTGTTGGGGAGATTTTTTGATTACTGCTTCAGTTTCTTTGCTGCTTATGGGTCTGTTCAAGTTTTCTATTTATTCCTGGTTCAGTTTTGGTAGTTCATACCTCTCTAGGAATGCATCCATTTCTTCCAGATTGCCTAATTTGTTTGCATATAGTTATTTATAGTATGTCCTCATAATTGTATTTCCTTCGTGTTGGTTGTGATCTCTCCTCTTTCATTCATGATTTTATTAATCTGGGTCCTTTCTCATTTCTTTTTGTTAAGTCTGGCCAGGGATTTATCCATTTTATTCTTTCAAAGAACCAGCTCCTAGTTCTGTTGATCTGTTCTACTGTTCTATTGGTTTCTCTTTCATTTTTTTTTCCCTTTAATCTCTGTTATTTTTCTTATCCTGCTGGGTTTAGGCTTTATTTGCTGGGTTTTTTTTCCCCCCAGCTCCTTTAGGTGTAAGGTTAGGTTGTGTATTTGAGACGTTTCTTATTTCTTGAGAAAGGATTGTATTGCTATCTACTTCCCTCTTAAGACTGCCTTTGCTGCATCCCAAAAGTTTTGAAGAGTTGTGTTTTCATTTTCATTTGTTTCCATGAATTTTTAAAATCTTCTTTAATTTCCTGGTTGACCCATTCATTCTTTAGTAGGTATGCTCTTTAGCCTCCATGTATTTGAGTTCTTTCCAGATTTCCTCTTAGGATTGAGTTCCTGTTTCAAAAACACTGTTGTCTGAAAATATGCAGGGAATGATCCCTCTCTTTCGGTACCAGATGAGACCTGATTTGTGACCCAGTATTTCATCTATTTTGGAGACTGTTCCATGTTCACTCAAGAGGAATGTGTGTTCTCTTGCTATAGGATGAAATGCTCTGAATGTATCTGTGAAGTCCATCTGCTGCAGTGTGTCATTCAAAGCCCTTGTTTCCTTGTTGATCTTCTGCTTAGATGACTGTCCTTTGCAGTGAGGGGGCATGTTAAAGTCCCCTTCTGCTACTGTATTATTATCAATGTGTTTCTTTAATTTTATTAATTGGTTTATATAAGTGGCTAACCCCATGTTGATGTCATAGATATTTACAATTGTTAGATCTTCTTGTTGGATAGACCCTTTAATTATGATATGGTGTCCTTCCTCATCTCTTATTACAGTCTTTGGTTTAAAATCTTACTTCTCTGATATAAGGATTACCACCCCAGCTTTCTTTTGATGTCCATTAGTATGATAAATGGTTTTCCACCCACTCAGTTTTAGTCTGGATGTGTCTTTAGGTGTGCAGTGAGCCTCTTGCGGACAGCATATAGGTAGGTCTTCCTTTTTTATCCAGTCTGATGCCCTGTGTCTTTTGATTGGGGGCATTTAGCCCATTTACAATCAAGTAAGTATTGAAAGATGTGAATTTAGTGCCATTATATTACTATATATTAATATGTATCTATTATTAAAATAACTGTTTCGGTATATTGCCTCTGTTCCTTTCTTGTCTGTGGTACTTTTGGGCTCTCTCTTTCCTTAAAGGATCCCTTTTAATGTTTCTTGCAGGACTGGTTTAGTGATCACAAATTCTTTTAGTTAAACTGTTTGTCCAGGGAGCTTTTTATCTCTCCTATTTTGAATGACAGCCTTGCTGGATAAAGTATTCTTGGCTGTGTATTCTTCTCATTTAGCACTATGAATATCTCATGCCAGTCCTTTCTGGCCTGCCAGGTCTCTGTGGATAGGTCTGATGCCAGTATAATGTTCCTACCCTTTTAGGTTATGGACCTCTTGTCCTTAGCTGCTGTCAGGGTTTTCTCTTTGTCTTTGAGATTAGCAAGTTTCCCTTGTTAACTTATATTTACTGATTTTTGAGGAGTTCTCTGTGCCTCCTGGACTTGAATGCCTGTTTTCTTCCCCCGATTAGGGAAGTTCTCAGCTATAATGCGCTCCAATATACCTTCTGTCCCTCTCTCTTTCTTCTTCTTCTGGGATCCCAATTATTCTGTTGTTCCACTTTGACAGTATCACTTATCTCTAGAATTCTCCCCTCGTGATCCAGTAGATTTATCTTTTTCTCAGCTTCTTTAGTCTCCATAATTTTGTCTTCTGTATCACTAATTCTCTCTTCTGCCTCATTTATCCTAGCAGTTAGAGCCTTCATTTTTTTATTGTACCTCATTAATAGCTTTTTTAAAATTTTAGCTTGATTAGATTTTAGTTCTTTTATTTCTCCAGAAAGGGATTCTCTAGTGTCGTCCATGCTTCTTTCAATCCCAGCTAGTATCTTTATCATTGTTAATTCTGAACTCTAGTTTCAACTTCTGCTTATATCCATACTGATTAGGTCCTTGGCAGTCAGTACTGCCTCTTGTTCTCTTTTTTGAGGTACGTTTTTCTCTCTTGTCTTTCTTTCTGGAGAAGAATAGATGAATGAGAGAACATAATACTAAAATGACAACAATGACCTCAGAGAAATATACCCTAAACAAATCAGAAGAGACCTGAAATTGAAAAAAATAATAAAAGGAAAAAATAAGAGAATCAGATGGTTGAACAGAACAGATCCATACACACTGGATCCTGTGTGTATTTTGGTTTGTTTGTTAGAAAACTAGATCCTAAAATTGTAAAGAAAGAAAAACTTACAGGTACAAAAATAAAATTACATACAGTGAAAGGATAGAATGTAACTGTAAAAAATGAAAAAAGATTTACAGTTGATAAAATAAGAAATTGGTTGTAAAAGGAATGAGAAAGAAAATTAAAATTGAAAGACCAAGGAATCATGGGGAAAAACCCTATGAATTCTGTGTGCCGTATTTCCCTAATGCCAGAGTTTTGCATTTCTCTATGATCATAAACTTGGTCTTGGCTGGATGTTCTTGCTTATCTTCTAGGGGAGGGGCCTGCTGCATTGATTCTCAGATGTCTTTGCCCCAGGTAGATTTGCACTGCCCTTGCAGGGGGCAAGGCTACGTCACCTGTTGGGTTTGCTTTCAGGAGCTTTCATCCTCCAAAGGCTTTCCGGGCAGCTTTAGAGGATGAGAATGAAGATGGCGGCCTCCCAGTCTCCAGCCCTGGAGCCCAAAGCTTGGTTTCCCACTTCTCAGTGCGCCCTCAGAGAAATACAGTCAGTCATTCCTGTCTCCCTGGTCTCCGGCCACACTCCATGCTTGTGCGGCATGTGACCGAGCGTTTCTATCACAGGTACAAGACCCCATTTTGAGTCTCCAAACCCTGCAGACTCCAGTTGCACACTCCCACGCTGTTCCTTCCAGGGGAAGAAGGGACGTCTTGTTGCAGTTCTGCCACTCCCTGGGCCCCTGCTCTGAGAGCAGTGGCCCAACTGTGCCACTGTTTGTGGTATGTGGCAACCCCAACCTGAGAGCCCACTCCTGGGCTCACTGTTTGCTGCCAGCTTCCCTGCTCTGATGCCTGAGAGCTCTGCTGCACTCAGGCACCCCCAGTGCCTATGACCTGGGGATCCTGAGACCACACTGTCCCACCTAGCATCTGCCCCCGTTTAGCCACCTGAGTGATGTCCCTCATCAGACTTCTAAAAGTTCTGATTTGGCATTCAGCTGCTTATGGCTTATGGCTTATGGCTTATGGCTTATAGCTGGCTTATGGAGGCTCCCTCCCCCCATGGTTTATCTTTGCCTCGATTCACTTCTCTGCACCCGACCTCAGAAAGTGATCGTTTTTATATTTGCAGAGTTGCAGCTGTTCTTCTCTTATATCTCCAGTTGAGTTCGTAGGTGTTGAGAATAGTTTGATAGCTAGCTAGCTGAATTCCTGGGACCAGACGAAAGTAAGGTCTCCTACTCCCCTGTCATCTTGGATTCCTCCCATTCTAGCCCTCTCTTACCTACAGTCTCGCTCTCCAGCAGTGAGAAGCCAGGCTTCTACAGTTCATCACCCACTTACCTACCCATTTGTTCAGTTCTAGTATGCATGCGTAATAGTTTGAGAAGTGATAATACATATACTCCTCTGGGAAACTACGTGCCCATATGGGGGGAATGATAGGTGTCAGGTCCATAAGCAAGCAGAGTTGGGCAGATGAGTCTGCCTCTGAGAACAGATTCTCTTGTGAAAAGCTTTTCCCTCTAGCCTTTTAAGTGGTGTGTAATCAGAGCTGCTCATCTAGATACGGATACTGGGGTTGGGGGAAGGTACCCTGGATTGACACAGAGCAGTGCAGAGTTTACAAGATGTGGAGGGGATTGTAAGAACCTGGCTCATAATCAGTGGAGCTTTGGACCCCAGTATTCCTTGTTGCAAGGTGTACATTCTATGGGCTGGGCTTGGTGATCTGTGCAGTTGAGCCTTCAGCTTCTAGTGGACAGAAGACTGTGATCAGTAAACTTGGTGAGATTCAATGCTAGATGATCTCAAGATCCTTAATTATATCTGCGAAAACCATTTTTCCATTTTGTTTTTGGTGGAGATAAGTTGATTGTAGAAGGAAATCAACTCAGTGTGTCTTTGGATGGCTTCTACCAGTTTCCTTTTGTGGCATTAATCTTCATGACACCCTCTAAAGGGAAACAACGATTACAAGAAACTATTTCAGAATGATTTTGTTTTATGGAAAAATAATTAAATTTTAAAAATCGTTTTTTTTTTAATTTTTAGGATCTGGGGACTCTGATTTTCGTCTGGAGGATGCGTTGAAAGAAACTTCCTCAGTAAAGCGTGAGTAGTAATCAAACTATTAAAAACAAATAATAGTGATTAATATGCACCACCCACTCAGAATATACACCCAGGGAAAACACTTTTTGTCTGTACTGATCGGATATAATAGGGGTATCATAAATTGCATTATTTAAAAGCAAATCTGAATATTTAACATCATTTGTTTCCTTTGCGAAGAATACCACACAATGTGTAACAGCTGATACAGCATTTTCCCCAGTGGCCTTAGAAGACTGCCTTTCCCTAGCTCAAGGAAAAAGTACTTTGAAGTGAATAAGAGATTTGTTTTTCCTTCTAGATTTTTTTTAAACAATGGTTTTTCTTAAAATGGTGTCTACATGTAAACTCTCAAATGCTACGCTTTGTTGTCCATTTCTCTTTACATTTTTTTTTGAAAAAAAAAAAAATTAAACCACTTTTTTTTTTTTTAAGTGTGAACATTAGAAAGTAAAACCGAGATTTTCTGTGACCCCTCCCCATCCTACTAATGTCCTTCCCATCCCAGGAGGAAACTGCTGAGTCCGTCTGGAATATGCTGGTCCCAGGTGATTTTCTGTGCTGTTACGCACATCCGTACACATAGATTGGTGTTTTTGTTTTACATGATGTGTGAGGCTTTTTCTTTTAGTTACGCATGTATTACTGGACAACCTTTTTTGAATTTAGTAAGTACTGAAGACTTGAGTGAGTGTTATCTCAGTTTTATAAACCGTCAGGCTTAAACCCACCAAAACGTGTTCTCTCACCGATCTGGAGGCCAGGGGTCCAAAGTGAAGGTGTCGGCGGGGCCACGCTCCCTCTGCAGGCTCGAGCACAGGAAGCTTCCTGGCCGGCACACCTGTGGTGGCTTGTAGCTGCCTCACTCCGGTCTCTGCCTCCTCCATGTTTACAGAGCCTTCTCCTTTGTGTGGTGTTGTCTTCTCTTGTCTCTTCTGGGGGTTCTTTTTGTTGGATTTAGAACTCACCTGGATAATGCTGCATGATCTCATCTCAGGTGTCCTTAATGACATCTGCAAAGACTGTTTTTCCAAATAGGGTTCCCGTTTATGGCATCTGCAGATTAGGACTCCACTATATATTTGGGGGGCCACTGTGGGACCACATCATTATATCTATACTTCACACGCAACCTTGGGCTTCATGGAGCTGGCATCCCAGTGACGTGGCTCTGGCCGTGTCCAGTGCTGCCCTTTCCTTACTGGCTGATGTGTGATTTGCTTTCATTTTGCATAATTACAAATAGGGCTTCAGTGAACATTCTTGTCCATATCTTTTGTGTATCAGGTCAGTGGGACTATCACGCTGAAGGGTATATGTATTTTCTGTTTTATTAGATTCTGCCAAATTGTTTCCAAAATGAATATACCATTATATATTCACTGAATACTATTCAGTTCCTTTTCTTCCAGATGTGCACATCAACCAGATTTTATTAGTCAAAGGCATTTTACCAATATGATGGTCAAAATATCTTAGTGCTGTATCATGCATTTTCCTCACTGTAGTGAGACAGAGCATCATTTCATATATTTATTGGCCATTTGTATTTTCTTCTTTGGTAAATTAGCTGTTCATATCCCTTCCCCATTTTTTTTCTGCCGGTTTTCTTGTCTTTTTCTTATGGGTTTGAGGAGTCTCTGTGTATTCTGGACTGAGAAAGGCAGGGGCTCTGGAGCCAGACTTCTTGTGTCCGAACCCTGCCTCTGCCACTTCCTGCCACCTTGGGTGAGTCTCCTGACTTCTCTGTGCCTCCATTTCCTTGTGTCTCACGTGAGGTTAATAATAAGCCCAACCTCCTAGGATTATTGGAAGGATTAGGTGAGTTGGCCCGTGTAAAGTGCTCAGCACAGGACTGGTACAAGTTCAGAGCTCAGTGAGTGTTGGCCGTTATATTGTTCCTTGATTCGACTCTGGCTGAGTTTCTGGTGTCAGTCAAGGCTACATGAGGAATGCATGCCTACATAAACTGACCAACACACTGAAAGCAATTCTTATCAAGATCCCAGCTAGAATTTTTACAGAAACAGACAAGCTGATTCTAAAATTCATACGAAATTCAGGGGACCCCAAATTGCCAGATTGTCTTGGAGCACCTGCGTGGCTTAGTAGGTTAAGCTTCCAACCCTTGATTTCAGCTCAGGTAATGATCTCAGGGTCATGAGATCGAGCCCCACATCAGGTTCCGTGCTGGGTGTGGTATGGAGCCTGCTGAAGATTCTCTCCCTGCCCCCCCCCCCCCCCCCATGCTCATTCATCCTTTTTCTCTCTCTCTCTGAAATTAAAAAAAAAAAAATTGCCAAACTAATCATGAAAAAAAGAAAAAGTCGGAGGACTCACACTTCCTAATTTTAGAACTTACTACAAACCTGCAGTGATCAAGGCGGTATGGCACTAGCATGAAGAGACCTGGAGTTCGGTGGAATAGAATTGGAGAGTCTAGAAATAAACCATTATATCTATGGCCAGTTGACTTTTGACAAAGATGCCGGGACTGCCCAATGGGGAAGGAATAATCTCTTGAATAAACAGTGCTGGGACAGCTGCATATCCAGTTGCCAAAGAATGAAGTTGGACCCTTGCCTCACACCTTATAAAAAAATTAACTCAAACTGGATGATAAACCTGAAACCAGAAATCTCTTAGAAGTTCATTTTTAGGGGCACCTGGGTAGCTCAGTGGGCTAAGCCTCTGCCTTCGGCTCAGGTCGTGATCCCAGGGTCCTGGGATCGAGCCCCGCATCAGACTCTCTGCTCAGCAGGGAGCCTGCTTCCTCCTCTGTCTCTCTCTCTGCCTGCCTCTCTGCCTACTTGTGATCTCTGTCTGTCAAATAAATAAATAAAATATTTAAAAAAAAAAAAAAGGAGTTCGTTTTCATGTGTGCTGTGAGGTGAGAGCTTAGAGTATTCTCAGGATTTTCCTGCGTGTGCTCACGTCCTGTACGTGCAGGTGGCCTTTCGGATTCCTGGAGGAAAAACACTTAGTTTATTAGCAGTGATGTTTTTTTTTTTTTTTTTTTTTTATAGTTTTTTTTTATTTATTTGACAGAGATCGCAAGTAGGCAGAGAGGCAGGCAGAGAGAGAGAGAGGAGGAAGCAGGCTCCCTGCCGAGCAGAGAGCCCGATGCGGGGCTCGATCACAGGACCCTGGGATCATGACCTGAGCTGAAGGCAGAGGCCTTAACCCACTGAGCCACCCAGGTGCCCCAGCAGTGATGGTTTTAATGAAATCGTGTAACATCTCCCCAAACAAACATGACCAGAAAAACCAAAAACCTAAATATAAAGACCCCCCAATTAGGAAATTTGTTACTTTCCTAATGGGGGACTTTTAAGTATTTACATCCTTTTCTCCGTTGGGAGAAGGCAAACCTCACCCGCTCTTCATCAGCACCCGTCAGCCAGTGTGCCTGGGACCCGTTGGAGCACCAGCACGTGGTGTCTTTGGTTGAATAACATTCTCCAAAAGCTCATCACTTTTTTTTTCTGTCTTAGCTTACAATTCATGCTACTGAGATTCAGAGAGATAGACCTGTTGATTTCTCCTCGGCTCAATTACGTTTTCTGGTGGAGAATGTTCTGGTTTGTATCTTGTACGTTTCTTGGGTAAACAATCCCCAAACCTCCTAGGTCAGGGTATTGTCAGTGACCTTCATTCATCCCTCAACAGGGTTTGAGTGCCTGCTTGCTGCCCTGAGCACAGGCCTAACCCCTACATCCCAGGTGCTGGGCGTACTGTAGGGGTTGGGCCTGTGCTCATGATGTCAGTTTCTCTGAAGAGACACAGTGCATGAAATAATTTCAGATCTCACTGAGTACTCTGGAGCAAATAAAACCAGTTGACAGGATAGGGAGGGCCCGAGGAGGTGGTAAGTGGTGGCTAGTTTAGATGAAGTGGAAAAGGCCTCCCTGATGAGAGGTGACCCGCAAGGAGTGGGGGAAGCGCTGTCAAGGCCAGAAGATCAGGTGTAAGAGTCCTGAGGCAGAAGAGGACTGAGCTGTCTCTGGGACTCAGAAGGTGGCCTGTGTGACTAGAGTGTGGAGGGTGCTGGAGAAAAGACAGAATTCAGAAGGGGCTGGATCATATAGGGCCTTCTAGGACATGGTGACCACTTTAGTCTAAGTACAAGGTGAAGCTTCTGGAGTAGTATTTTGAGAGCTGCGTTATTGAGCTATAATTCACATACTGTAATTCACCTATTTTAAAGTGTGCAATCCAGTGGCTTTTAGTACATTTACAGGGTTGTGCAATTATCACTATAGTCCATTTTGTTTTGCTTTTAAAGACTTTGACAGTGAGCACAAGCAGGGGGAGGGTCAGAGGCTGAGGGAGAAGAAGACTCTCCGCTGAGTGGGGAGCCTGATGTAGGGCTCGATCCCAGGACCCCGATCTCATGACCTAAGCCGGAGGCAGAGGCTTAACCCACTGAGCCACCCAGGTGCCCCCACTACAGTCCATTTTAGAACATTTTCATCGCCTCAAAAAGAAGCTGTACCCTTCAGCTGTCAATCCCCTGATTTCCCTCTTACAGATATTTCATATAAATGGAGTCATATAACGTGGACTTCACTTGTGGCTTCTTTTACTGAGCACAGTATTTTCAAGGTCACCCCTGTTGCTTTCAGAACTGCTTCTCCGTCCCTTCTCCCACCCTATCTTTCCATCTCCACCCCTTTTCCCTCCTTCTCTTCCTTCTGCGGTGTGTGTAGTCATTCACAGGGAGCACACTACTGCCTTTGCCCTATGAAGCTTCTTTTCTTTTCTTTCTTTCTTTTTTAGTTATTTATTTGAAGGAGGGGAGGGCAAAGGGAGAGACTCTGAAGCAGACTCCCTGCTGAGCAGGGTTAGGGCCCAACACGGGGCTCGATCCCAGGACCTTGAGATCATGACCTGAGCTGAAGTTAAGAGTTGATTGCTTAACTGACTAAGCCACCCAGGCGCCCCTGCCCTATAAAGCTTATGAGTTTCCCCTTTCCTCGGAAGGCCACGGACACCATCAT